AGATCCAACTAGTCGGGCCGACGTCTTTCCAACAAGCTGAATCCACGTTGGGCCGATGGAAAAACAGCCGTCGCGCCAACCTTTGTGTAAGTACGTTGTGCCAACGTAATTATTCGACCTTCAACCAACGTCGGGTCAACGTCGCTTGCTAGCTGGGACTCGACGTTTGTTGGTTTTTCTACTACTACTAAAAAATAAAAACCTCACTTGTGGCATTTTAACTTGGCCTTAATTTATTCTTATTTTGTTCTTAATTTTTCCGCAATTTCGACAGCCTCATTCTTCTTATAAAATGTGCTCTTATAAAAAAAAATGTAAGTGATGTTGCTATTAAAACGTACAACGTTACTCGTATCGTGATGATCCTTTTATACAGTATACCCCGTCACGGGTTCAATGGATAGATAGCGTATACATACAGTATAATTATGCTTATACCTCTGTATATGTTTTCTGTCGATGCCAAGAATAAAAATGTTGATTAATTTGTTTAAAATGCTTCTAGCTGTTTGAATCAGCTAATTTACAGTGGCTTTTAATCCACTCTTTATATCAAGCTTTGCTATTATTCATGTAAAAGCAGAATTGATTTTATAATGGTTACGAATTTATACAGTAGTATTTTTCATTTGGGAAACAATTTGCTTGTTTCTCCATGTCCTCCACTCATGGTAATTTTTTGATAGGCCCTATCGCTGACGTAAGGACGTAAGAAAGCAAATTTTTCCGGGCCCTTCGCCCCCTGGACCCCGACTGGGGGCCCTGGGCGGCCCCCCTGGCCCCAGCTTGGTTGCTCGCTGCGCTCGCAAAAACGCACCCCCTCCCCTCATTCAAAAAGCTGGATACGGGCCTGAACCCATTATTACTCTTTATTTATACTGCTTTTCTCGAACTTGTTATGAAAAGACAGTGACCCAGCCCACCTCATCTTTATTTTAAAATGCCCTTTTAAAGGACCTAAGAAACAATTTACCAGTTTTTGTGTCACTTTAGCTTTCATCTGGAAATTTACTCGTGAGAGAAAATTCGATGAGGTACATGATAGGATATTCCGTTAGTGGGGGGGCCTTGATGATCAGTTAAGGGGTGCTAATTCGGAAAATAATGTGATTTTATGTGATTTTTAACTACTTACTGTCTCGCTCAGGCCAAGTTTTACCTTTTTATCAGATTAGTCTCCCCAGGCAGTATGACAAACTTTCACGCTGGGAAGCCACAGTATTTTTAGAAAGGCCACTTGCATACACTTCCAAACAAAGCCCGCATTAATTCTTCATGTAAATTTTGAATTGAGAGGTTGTTATTTATTTTACTATAAATTAATTAGTTTAATACTCTCTTTTGTTTTGTTTTACTATGTGTATTGAGAGTCCCTATGATCAGCTTCGGCTGGATGGACCACGGCCCTCATTAAAGATTGTTGAAATAAAACATTTTCAAAAAATGCATGTTTTCTCTGGACTTATTACGCATTAGGTTACACTATTTCATCTTACTCTGATTATCATACAGTACTATAGATAATGTAATTACACTTAAATCAGGATTGATAACTTAACGTTGTGACTTGCTCTTGACATATTACAAATTAGCTTATTATTATTTAGGTTAGGCCTACTTTGATTATCATAATATATATACCGTAATTAAATTTTAATCGGGATTGATAACTTAATTACTCACGTCTGCACGTGCAGTATCAGCAACATTACTCACAATAATAATATACAATACAGTATTGATGGTTAAGGGCATTAAGCAATTGCAAGTTTTGTATATTTCATTTCACTTAATTGTAACAATCAGTTTGTCTGCTCCGTTAGTTTTATTATTTATTACCCCGCCCCCCCCCCCCCCTTGAAGGAGAAAGAGGATATTGCAATCGAGCTCTGTCTGTAGTGTGTTTGTCCTTCCAGGCACATAACTCAAAAACTACTATGGACCAATTAACTTCAAACTTTCACACATTGACTTGACAATATTATATGTATCTCGGTCCTTCCTGACTTTGGTGCTCATCAGAAATAAAAAGTAGATTTTATAACGTTATTATATAGTTTTCGGTCGCAACTGACAGAGTCAACTGAAGCGGGTCGTTCAAGACCTTCTCAAGTCGATCGACCGTGTGTCAAATTTTGGCCATCAGACTGGAAGCAGCTCGGAAGGCATGCAAGCCCGACTGATGGACTTGCCACTACAGGCCTATGCTAGGCCTAGTTTGGCAGATAGATTGGATAAGTAATGTGCAGATTTTAGAATTTAATATTTTCCGACCATATATCTCACAACAGGGACGTATCCAGGGTGGGGGGTTAGCCGTGGGAGCCGCGGCTCCCCCCTTTGTACACAGTGTTGAAATTTTAAAGCTTATTCTTGAGCCAATACAAATTCTTTCCTGGGATCACTTAAAATGAATACTTCTAAACATGTAAATATGCAGCAGTACACGATATACATAGGTCTAATAGAACACATAGGCCTAAGCGTGATTTAAAAAAATCTTAAATCCATAAATCTCAGGCCAGGTCTTTTAAGATAGAAATGCGATACTGTGGTTCAATTTCGTTTTTATCCTTTTGCAAGTTTCTTTAAATGTTTGT